TGCAATATCTTGGACTTTATTCTGTGTCAGATGAGTGATGAGGAACCTTCCCTCCTGAATCTGGATTGTAGGTTGGAGTTATTTGGAGGAGTGACCACAGACTCTCTCTATTAATTCACAAAATATGTTTCAATCCTTCACAGCACTAGTAGCTAGTTAACTTTACCTGATGTAATAACATTAAAAATGTACAGAAGAGTACCTTTTTGTATTGTCTGCATAAAATGTTGAAGTTGTATTTCGCCCCCTTTAATTTGACCCCTGGCTAAAAAAAAAAAAAAAAAAAAATCTCCTTAAGAATCCCTCTCAATGGGAAATTTGGTATTTTATGTGGAGGTTAGCCTTTGTGTAACTGCAGCTGTTCTGTGAAGGTTTGTTAGAGAACATTAGTGAACAAACAGCATGATGAAGCTGAAGAAACACAGCTGGTGGAGAAGACTATAGCACTGATAGGTCCTAAAACAATGCATAGATAACCCAAACACTCCTAATGGAGCTATAAAAAGAACTGCAGTTCTCTTCATTGTCTATCTAACCTTGATGTTAGTGGCTCCTTGGTTACCTGCTCGCCATCTCTGAACAAGCTCTGCATTGGTGGGAACCTGATCCCACATTTTAAACCCTCACAGCAGCTTCAGTGCTTGGTGATTTGGTAAGAGGTTGATTTTGAGTGCAATCTCTAGCAGCAATATCTTTTGTGATGGAGGCATGTTTTTTGCTTGCAGATATAAAGGACAATATATTAATGTCATTCAGCTGCCCTGTTTTTAACACTTTAAACTCCAGTCCCCCCATTGGTAAGACTTCAAAAATGATGCCAGCAGGATTAATGCAAAAATGTGGTGAGTTTTCATCAAATTTGCATTTCATCTGCTCAGTCTCTGTTCCAACATGAACTCACCACTAAGACTGAAGCTACAAACTTAAAAAAAAAAATCTATTAATTTGAAAACTTTTAGAGACAGCTGTGTTTCAGTTAATGTGTGAAAGGTTTATAAAAAGATGATAAAAACCAAAATGGAAGAAATACTCATTAGAAAAGGAAAACAGACAGGGTTTTTTTTTGAAGGTACAATTTTATAGAAAACATGTTTACACTTTCAAAAAATCTTTTTTTTTTCATTTTCAGTTATTCTGTTTTTGTACTTTTTGTTTTGAAATGTCATCCATTCTTAGTCTGCTAAAGTTGAACATTTCGAACATCCATCTGTGTCGAAGGCTCTTGCCTAGATGCTGGGACTTAAGCAGAAGGTGATAGAAACGTGCCTTCACATTTGGAATATTTATAAGAACTTATCATTTTCCAAGAGGAAAAAGAAGTTATCCGTTTCCACTCAGAGTAACCTCTGACGGATACTCCGGTCCAGCCTCCAGCAGTAACAGCCCTCCACTTGAGCAGCGCTCCAGTTCCTCCCGCCTAAAGGCACCTGTGTTATAACAGAGCTTTTGCTTTAAATCGATATGCACTTACTTCCTCACTAAATCATAAACCGACACAGTATGAAACATCCACATCTACTCAGGCTGCAGTGCATCGAGCAGGTCCTACACTCATACCTGGGAGTACGCAAAGTAATTAAAGAAAAATGTAAAAACAACAAATAAAAAAAAAAGGATAGAGTTTGCTTATCGTTTTTTTTTTTTTTTTTGCTCTCCAGACTCAGATCACGAATTCTGACGCAACTAAACTTTAAAAATGTACAAATGCAAAAACCTACACATGCAATTTAAACAGAACTCAACAAACTCTGTAACTTTTTGTTAGGGAGTGTATATGGGCTCCCTGAGTGGCTCAGCTTCTCAGATGAGTTTACACAATTTTCTATTACTTCCACCATCTTTAAAATTCTTCTGTCTCCACATAAAAAAAAAAAAAAAGCAAGAAGAAAGAGAAAAAACAAACTGTAAATAGAAACATTGTAAATTGTGTACCTCCGATTGGGAACGCGGGACTTAAAATAAAAAAAATAAAACAGGAAGAGAAGAAAGGCATCGGACCCACACACTTTGCCTCAATGTCAACTCATCAGCTACATTGCATTATAAATATATAAAGTTTAAAAAAGTGCTTATTAAAAGAAACTATAGTGATGCGATAACTTCCAGCTGTTTGTTCTCGACCAGCATTAATACGAAATGTCAGGGAGCATAAAACTGTTGTCCTTCAGTCCAATAAAGTCCTTCAAAACTGACAAAGATTGTCAGAAAAATGAAAACCCCTGATCTTCCATTAACAATCAATCACCTTGTAGAAAAAAAAGGTTTTTTTTTGGAGAGGGGAGCATAGTTAATACAAAAAGAGACTTTTCTAATGGAAAAATAGGAGTGTTGGCCACTGATAACACAATGCTGCAAACTGGCAGCTTCTCACAGACTTAACTGGAACAGACGACAGAGACATTTGAAAATAACTACTTAGAATTGCACATAACCATGAGAGAGGCAGGATGTTTTCAGAGAGGTTGAACAGCAGAACGGGAAGAGATGAGCAGAGGTCGGCGTGGGTCAATTAACATTAAGATCTGAGAAGAGTGCCACCGCCCAATGATCAGCTGATCTCTGGGTCATCAGATGTGCCGCTTCCTGTTCCTCGTCCTCTCTGGGGTCTCTCTGTACAGGCAGACAGCTTGAACTCCACCAGCATCTCAGGCGATCATGTACCGAGTGATGGCTCTCAGCGCGTACAGCAGCTCTGCCTGCAGCCGCGCCTCCATGATCAGCAAGTTTACGTGTATCTGAGGATGGGAGACACCGACGGTCAGATCCAAAGCTGTAGCAGGGTTGCTTTAAAATCAGCCCTCATTATTCAGAATTCACTACTTTTTCACTTTCTGCCTTGTTACCATGAAAAACTTTAATTATAAGTGGATTTTAAGCGAAAGACCAACAAAAAGTAACACTAAATAAGAAGTGGAAGGGTAGTGGCATATATTTAAAAATCTAGACTGGTGTGTTTGAATGCATTTCAGTATTTAGTTAAACCAGCTTTAGCTGCAACTGGAGCTTAACATCAACTAATGGCCTCATTAAAATACTAATTCCCATCAACATCCAACATATTTGGTCTCCATGTTGCTCATATGTATGTTTACTAATTTCCAAATAATTTGCATCCACTGCTCCTCCTCTGAGACGGTTGACTCCCTGCTGTAGGAAACCGATTTCACATTTTTGACAAACCTCCTAACTTGTGTATTAATCGCAGGGTATCATTTTCCAGGTAAACAACTAGACCTGTTTTTTGTCAACAGGCCTGGAGAAAAACAATCTCACCCTGTCTGAGGCTTTCAGCAGAGTCCAACTCAGCGGACACACCGGGGTTTTGGTGACGTCTGGAAAACAGGCCACAGCTTTGATGTAGAGCTTCAGATCTCGCTCCAGCAACTGGTTCACCTCCCCGTAGTCGTAGTCGTCACAACTGTGGTCAGAAGTGAGAACACATATACCTTCTACAAGATTTAGATGATGCTCTTGAATGGAGTCGGAGCCTTACCGTATCCCTAAGACATAATGGATGTAATTCCAGATCGCCCTCTTCAGGTCGGAGCTGTGCAGCGATGGGAGGGATGTGACGCTCCTGAACCTGTCGTCCAGGAGATGCCCGATGTCTGAGTACAATCTGTTGATCAGGGAGAAACCGTGGACTTCCCAGGAGTAGTCCTGCAGTCAAATGACAAGACAATTCTGTCAAACATAATCCCATTTTGTATGAGAAGGCAGACTTTAAATTTAGAAGTTTCTAAAAAGTTTGTTTTACTTGAATATAAGGTTTAAAAATAAATGATCAGACACCCTAATCACTGAATCCAAAAGTAAAAAAAAAAAAATGGCAAAAGCTATTAGCTAAATTTAGAGCATTTAGGTGAATTCTGAAAGCAAGTGGTGGATTTTATAAAGCTTAAGCTTGATTTTTGCGGTGTGGTGAGAAAAATAAAAGTTTAATAACTTTTCTATAACTTCCAATGTCAGAATTTGTAACATAAAATCTTGATAAGACACTGAATTGTCCAGTAGTGTTAAAGGTGCAGTAGAAATAAAAGTAA